ATATATATTATTTATTTTTAAGCTTTTTTTTTTTTTTTAGATATATCCCAAATTAGGGTTACACACATTGCAAACCCACATAAATACACTCAAATAAAATGACCTCTTGAGAATGATGTTCCTACTAATGGGTACCTGATGAAGACAGCTATAAGGATTCATAGCCACACATGTCCCTTACATGTAACCCTGTGTGTGTGTGTGTGTGTGTGTGTGTGTGCATGTTTATGCCAAGGTCCAGGTAAAAAAATGAATTCAATTCACACAGATAATAAGTAGTTTTCTTTTGAAGTTGCAGTAAGTTTTAGCATTACAGTTGGAATGCAAAAACGGAGCGAGGGAGATGATAGGGTCTTGTATGCATTGTATGTGATATAATGCTAGATTGGAAAGAGCTTTTATCTTTTCAATGGGAATGTCAGAATGGAGGTCTTTCTCTCAGAAGAGGGCCAATCTCTTTGATTTTCTTCCTGTAATTATGTTTTTTTTTTTATGGCTTTTTTGGCAAATGACGACTCTCGGCACAAGCTTTCCACCAGAGAAAAAAAGAAAGAGAGAGAGAAAGAGAGAGAGAGCAAGCTAATGGGCAAGGCCTAATGAAGTTTTTGTGTGTGTGTGTGTGTGTGTGTGTGAGGAAGGTCCGGGCTTTGCTCACAGAAGAGTTTCTGGAGGAGACCCGACGAGAGAAAGAGGAGAGTCTGCGCCGATTTCAGGATTCAGTTCGTGAACGTGTGTCGCAGCAGGCCCGTCTGCGCAAACAACAGCAGCTACTGAAATCATATGAGACAGTAAGAAAACATACAAATCCTGTGCTCTTTGGAAATAGATCTATTAATTATGTTAAATAAGCTATTATCTAGCATAAACTTTACACTGCTGTTCAAAAGTTTGGTGTCTAAGATTTTTTTAAATGTTTGTGTATAAAGTATAGTATGCTCACCAAAGCTGCATTCATTTGTTCAAAAACAGTAATATTGTGAAATATTATTAAAATTTTATATAACTGTCTTCTATCTTAATATATTTTAGAATGTAATTTGTTTCTGTGATGACAAAGCTGAATTTTCAGCATCATTACTCCAGTCTTCAGCATATAACATTAATTCTAATATGCTGATTAATGCTCAAGAAATATTTTTTTATTATTATCAAGTTGAAAAAAGTTGTGCTGCTCACAATTTTTTCGGGGGGGAAACCAGCATACTTTTTTTTAGTATTTTTAAAAAATATTTTGTAACATTATAAATGTTTTTACTGTCATTTTTGATCAACATCAACAAGTCAGTGTTATTTTAATATTATTTATATACTATTACAGCATTTATTAATATTTTTAATTAGCTTTCATTTTTACATTTTCAGTTTTATTTTTATTGTACTTTAATTTGAGTAATTTTTAATGTGCTTTTATCATTTTTATTAGTTTGTTTATATATTTCTATTTACCTTTAATTATAATTTATTTCTATTTTAGTACTTCAGATTTTTATTATATTGCCATGGCAATTGGAAGGGTTTCATCTAATATGTGTTTTATTTTTACTTTAATTTCATATATTGAAAAGTATTT